TACCGAAATTTCTTGTATAATTCCTATATATCTTCTCCTCCATCGAACTAAATTGTGTATGTCCTAATGTGTCAAATAACTTTGTTAAATTTTAACTATTTACTTTTACTTTTATTATACTTACACGCATCCTCATGGCAAAGACACAATTCCGTAGTCGACTGCAGACAGCAGCAGCTAGCGACGTGTCGTCGCGACACAACCGGTTTCTATGTAGTTCTATGAAATACGTTCTGTAGCTGGCGACACCTCGTTCGATTCCTTCGACAGACGATACTGTAGTCCGTCCGTAGATCAGTATTGCCGCCAACGCTCGAGCGACAACACGTAGATTTTTTCTTAAAAAATGAGTTTCACCGATTCCGAGGAACAGAAACTAATAAACCAGGTGGCCCAATATCCTGCACTGTAAGTTTCCTCACCTCCTCTGCATTTCAACATAGGACGTGTATATTTTCGTCTTAACTTTTTATACTTTTATAATAAAAACAAGTCATCATCATCTTATTCCTCTTCTAACAAAAGGTACAAAAAATCGAGATCGCTAATTTCAAACACGTCAGACATCATGTTCCACCGAACACTTGGAACAGACTGGACACGGGTTGCTGCCGGCTGCAGTCGGGTTTGGAATCATGACTGCAGCGACATGACGCCACAACATGTTGCCTGCTGTTGCTGCTTGCAGTCCGGAAATTCCGGCTACGGACGACACGAAATATTTTTTAAAGAAAGATACCTTGTTATGAGATCGTTTGTAGGGTGGGTCTACGACATGCTTTAGAAGTTAATAATTATCTATAGAAATTATTGCAGTTATGATTATGCACAATAATCACAATATAAAGAAGGAAAAACTTTAAAAGTGCTTGAAAAAAATTGGTATGTCTATTGACTACATTAAAAATTTAACGATGTAGTCCTTAGAGTCGTTAGTCGTTACTAAGATCAAGGTGTGCTGGTATAACACCTGGTAGCACTAGAATAAATAAAATTAACTTAAAAGAACTAAGCAAAATAAAAGGAACTATCCCATATTATTTCTATAAAGAGAGAGAGAGAAAAGTAAAGTAGAGTCTAAACAAAATTTAATGAATAATGGTAACGATTCAATCTTTTTTCGATAGTGAAAAAATATACCTTACTACATCAAAATATCGCTGGGATTTTACATAAAAAAGACTTATTTAAACTTGCACTTCTTGATTTTGAAAATAAAAAATTAGTATTGATATAATATGCATTAGTGAAACTTTTATGAAACAGGGTACGGAGTCTAATCTAAAGCTTAATAACTACAAATTAGCATGGGCCTTTTCAAGACCGAACCTGCATATTAGTTAGGAAGGAATTAGATTATCAACCCATAAAAAACCTACCGAACTCGGTAATTTATACATTTGAATTCTATGCTATTGAGATAGTTACTTTAGGTATTTGCGTTGTATGTATATATCGGATTCCAAATTCTAATATAAAATTTTTTTTGAGAAATTTGAACAACTTCTAAATAAACTTACTAAGAAAAATAATAAAAGAATTATAGTTTGTGGAGATTGGAACATAGATATTTTGAAAAATTATATTCATTCTAAAGAACTTTATTCTATTTTATACAATCATAACTTAAATAACCACATTTGTAAATCAACTAGAAAAATGTCGTGTATTGATTTGATTGCCAGTATTCTTCCTAATGTACAACCAAATATTCACTTTTTTAGTGCTAACAGATCATGAAACTTGTCGAACAATAACTTTTCAGGCAAACATAAATAAAAGTCATATTAGGAAATCGTTTTGGTTTGAGGAAAAAAGAGCACCTTAGTAGTGAAAACGTGAAAAAATTTCTGTACTATATTTCGACCCTATTATTTTCTGATGTATATGAGGCTGAAGATACTAATTTGGCTTTCAACTACTTTCATGACACTCTTACCTTATTTCTTAATTTGTGTTTCCCTAAAATTATCGTAAAAATAACAAATAAATCTATTAAAAGTAAGTGGATTACACGGGGTATTAAAAAATATAGCATTAATAAAAGACTTTTGTATTTGAAATATCGTCTTTCGACAGCAAACAAAAAAAGAAATTGGAAAATATATTACAAATATACAAACATTTTAAGGAAATGCATTCTGCAAGCCCAAAAACTGGACAATACACGCTACCTACTTAATTCTAACAACAAAAGTAAGGCAGCTTGGCAAATAATAAAAAACGTTAATAATGATATGGCAGTTATTAATGACATTACTATAATAACCTCTCATGGCAATACATATCATCAGCCAGATAAAATAGCGGATGTGTTTAACAATTACTTTATAAATTTAAATAATTACATTAAAACACCAAATAAAATAACAACCAATAACGACTATACATGTGAGTTGACATTTTATTTCAATTCTATATATCTAGGTCCAATACATAACACTGACATTATAAAAATTATTAACTCTTTAAAAATATAAATACTACAAGTTATGATGATATTAGTACTAAAAAGTTAAAACAATGCTCCAAATATTTGTCTTTCCCACTAACTTACAATATCAATTTATCTTTCGTTCAAGGCATTTTCCCAACTAGACTAAAATTTTCTGTCGTAAAACCACTACACAAGAAAGGTGATAAAACTGACATAAACAATTATAGGCTCATAACACTGATATCTGTTTTATCAAGAGTGTTTGAAAAGGCCATACATACCAGAATCTATAACTTCTTTAACAAACATGAAATATTAAAACCAGAGCAATATGGGCTTACAAAAAAAAGTCAACCACTTTAGCATGTTTTAACTTAATAAAACTAATAACAACTAGCCTAAACAACAAAATACTTATAACATCCATTTTAATTGATATGTCCAAGGCATTTGACTTTGTTAACCACGAATTATTGTTACACAAACTTAGCAAATATGGTGTAAGAGGCAATGCATTAAAATTAATACAAGATTATTTTAGTCAACGAAAACAATGCGTTGAGGTTTCAAGTTACTCAGGACGCCATAGAAAAAATTATAGATCACAGTATTGCGAAAATAAATGCGGAGTGCCACAAGGAAGTATACTAGGACCTTTATTATTTATAATCTATCTTTGTAACATAACTACTCATAAATGTGTGCTATATGCTGATGACATTACCATTAATATTGAAAATAATAATAAATGTTTTGACTACGAACATTAAATAAATAGGACCTTGGAAACAATAATAGATTGGTTAAGACATAATAATTTACAAATTAACATCGAAAAAACTAAGATGATAAGATTTCAGACGTATAATAGTAAACAAGAACCACTTAAAATTGAATATGGGAAAAACATAATCGAAGAAGTTGACCATACTAACTTTTTAGGTGTAACAATAGACAAGTTCTGTAATTGGAAGACACATATTGATAACCTATGTAAAAAGTTAGATAAATGTGTCTTTGTTTTATATCAGTTAAGACGAGTGGCTAACATGGTGGCCGCACTCTCTGCCTATCTTGGATAATTATGTTTCTTCGATCCTACGTTACGGCTTAATAATATGGGGTAATTCTGTCGATTTCATTAGAGCTTTTCGTGGACAGAAAAAATGTGTAAGGTCTTTATGCGGAGCACACCAATTAGATAGTTGTATTCCCCTTTTTCGCAAACATAAAATATTGCCACTTCCAGCATTATACGTTTGCGAAATCTGTATCTTTGTCAATAATTACCTATTGTGACACAACGGATATAGACGTAAACGTCTCACGACGTCCTGGCACATGAAATGTGCATTTAAAGTGCGTGATTTGCCAGAAAGCCTGTCGACGATGGCGTCGAGACACGTCTTCCACTTTTCTTCAGTTTTTTTACTATGTCTTTAGGATTATCTTTGCGATTTGTACGTAAAGTGCCAGTTGTATGAGTTCTCAATTCAAGTAATTTTTGTGACAAGCTCACAGAATTGTCGTAGTTGTCCATAAATAGATGATGTCCACGTAATGGGTATGAACGCATCAACTTTAAAACAAGTTTTTCGGTTTTTGATCCAGTTTCAGGAGTTGAAGCTTGCTTTCCACATAGAACATAGCCTTCAGGTGTTGCTAGTTGGAAAAATTTGATGCCATAGCAAGCCTTTTTGATTTGACTGGCGAAAGTGCAAACGACCTCGAAATAAAAGAAGAGACTCGTCTAACGACAGTTCTTAGCCAGGGTTATAGATTTTTTTGAAGTTTAGTGTTAGCATATCAATTGGTTGTACGATCTTATCATCCCCTTTGGCATCCAAGTTTGCTGCATATGAACAACACAAAATTTGTTCATATCTTCTTTCTGACATCGTGTAGCTCAATACGTGATCATAATGTAGTGGATCTGATGGCGAGAAGAGAATTCTTTGCTTGGGACATTTTACATGACCTTTCAGAAGAGTTACCCAAACACTTCATAGTTTCTTCGCAATTAGTCTCACGATGTACTGTTTTACGACTATGTCTAGTATGAGGTCTGTTAGTGTTACAGAGGCGGTTCCCATAACCGTTTGTACAGATTTCAATAAATTCTAAGAAATTTTGTGGAAAAAGGAGATGAAAAAATTGACAACATTATTTTATCCTTAATATTCATAGTCAAATCACATTCAGACGTGGCAAAATCGAATTCAGGTATTTCAGTAACTGATGTAGACCATGACCCCTCTGTAATAAGTGAAATAGATCAATTAATAATATGCTCAAAGTTTGGCTGATTAGAGATGCTCTGAGACTCGGTTGCAAACATTTCATTATTTGAAGGCCCAGCAGTTATTTGTTCATCATCCATATTTTCTTGACGTTCTACTGAATAACATGAAGTTCTGTCGTCGTTTTCGACATGACTCTGAACATCATCAGTATTTTGATGACATTCTAAGGACGAACATGTAGTTCTATCATCATCATCACCCGAAGAATCGGAAGACTCACCCCGAATTATAGCCGCTGTTTCTTGCAAGTGACTTGTTTGCTAACTTCCAACTGGGTCTTTAGAAATCGAAGATTCACTTTCAGAAGGTCGGTAATCCTTATCTGATCCATATTCTACATCATCCACAAACGTTTCTTCAGAGGAATCAGGAGTGGACGCGCCATCAAATAATTTCTCTAACCGTCTTTGATTTTCCTTAAAGGGATCTGTCTGAAAAGTAAATCGTACCGTTTACAAACAAAATAAGACCAAACATATGTTTTTCTTCTAAAAGTCTAACTTAGAAGACTCAAAAAATTGTATTATTTATTGTAAGTACTAATAAAACAAAACAAAACGTATAAAATTACACGTGGCTTACCCTTGTGAAATATTTGGTTGCAAAAACAGCGCGTAAGCACGTGGGGCACCACTTACGCGCACTACTTCACTGAATATATGTAAATATGACGTCGAGGGGCGTACTGTGCTTTCGCAGGGTAGTACAAAATCGTCGTTGTGTGAGTGACCGGACTTTTTTCAAATGTGTGTAAAACTTGACGATGTGACAGTACAAATACAAAAATTGTATGTACAGTGACAGTACAAAATGTCGTTTCATACATTTTGAAGGAATCTGGGACGTCGTAAGGCGTACTGATATTATAAGGGCCTAAAACTCGAACGTCGACAGACGTTCTGTCATATCGCAAACTTTACCGCAACGTATATAGGCGTTACTATCCGTCAACGTGTTAAATAATAAATTTGACTCAAATTGTATTTATTGAATTGCTGAATTTAATTTTTTGAAATGTTTTAACTAAAAATATTATGAATTGATTGATGACTGTTTTATATAGATTTAGTTTCCATAAGTATTGCTGCAAGTAACTTTTATACTATATAATAATTAATATCTTAATTTTCTACTTTATTCGAAAAACTATCTATCTGAAAATATTTGTACGCCGGAAACGGCAGAATATTTAGGATCGAAATTATTTTGTAACAACAGTAATGTACCATATTCTGACAAATAAATCAGCTTATCTTATCTTATCTTAAGAGTTTTACAGATTATAAACCGCAACAAATAAAGTATTATCGTATTAGAAGTAATTATTTCAAAATACGAGACAATTGCTTTTTGCAGCCTAACGTAAACATTTTTTATAAAATACTGTGATAAACTAACATATAGTTCACATGATGTTGATGAAAGTACCTTTATCTATGTTCCATTATGAAGATGCTTCGTCGCACTTGAAAAGTACGAATGCTTTCAACCAGTAAAAGGGTCTTCAACATACAAAACACAGCAATGCTGCGTTAAGTTATTGTTTTACACTGGTGTTCTGGGAGCTCACGCTTTTTAAAGTACGTGGTTCTTACCCGGTAGAGCCAATCCGCTTGTACTGGAATCATAATATGGCTGCAGCGTGGCTCTATCGCTTATATAAATTATCAATTTTTCTTATTTAATAATACACCAGTTATTAAATCACATTATTTCTGTTTAATCTTAATATATATAAATTACGTGTCACGTTGTTTGTCCGCGATAGACTCCTAAACTGCTTAACCGATTTTAATCATATTTGCACACCGTGTACAGTTTGGCCCAACTTGAGAGATAGGATAGTTTTTTTGCCCATGAGTGATCTACAATTTTTTTTGCAAATTTAAAGATTTTTAATGGGATATGACAAACCGTAGTCGAAAATGGCAGAACAGCGTCTGCTTGGCAAGCTAGTATAATATAATAATAAGAAAATGTTGTCTACAAAATTAAATTCTAAGTAACTTCTTTGATATAAATTTGCTACCAAAGAGCAACTAGATAAAGACATTGCTGGGTTTATTTATATAAACAGCTTTTTTTGCATAAACACGAAGATGTTTCCCGAAGTGTGATTTACAGATAAGTTGATGTAATAAGTCGAAGCGAATATTTTGTATGATATTTTTACGAGTTTATCGTTCGTGAAAATAAAAATATTGATCGAATTTTCGATTGAATTACCAAATTTGACACTTTAATTGCCGAACACCAACTAAAGCTTAAAACACACTAATAATTAATCACACTTAATACTTTAGTTCACTTTATTTCGTTTCGAAGCTTCGCTTGTATTGCCAATTAAATTCTGCTCCGGTTGCGGTTCAGAACAACTTTATACAGGACCTTTTCCACCGGAAACATCTAAAAAGTTCAAGCAGAATAGCAAAAGATCTAGCAAGGAATCCTCCAGAAAGCCCTCACCACTCAGTATTAGACGGCGCTAGTGGGAAAGTTCTAGAAAGATCATGACGCTCCTATTTATGCTACTTGATACTAGATGACGCTAATAATCACCTGCCATATACCAGACATCAAATATGTCAACAATGAAGAGTGATTTAGATGAATGGGTTGATTTATGTTGAGAACAAGATATCATTTAACGTGTGATGATGTTAATGACATTTGTTGTGTGGTGGGAATCCATTACCACATTTCGTCTTTGGAGTCTTTGGAAATCTCATTGCATTCTACAGATGATGATATAACCATCTTGTTTGCACCAAACTTAAAATAAACTGACCAGCGACGGGCGTTAAAAGTCTAAGATGTCTGGTACTGCATTTGTCTATTCATCTTCCTAGCGTAAAGATTGAGGCAAAATCTCCCTACAATGGGAGAGGCTATTGTTCAGTAACGAACTTGTACCGACCGATGAAGAAGATTAAGAAAGATATCGTCAAGTGAAAATGTGATTCTTTATTTTTAACAATATAAATAAAAATAGGTACACATAAAAATACATTACAAGTATATATATATATATATATATATATATATATATATATATATATATATATATATATTGACAGCTCCCTGACCTACTATCATGGCAGCCCAGGGGCTAAGGACTTGCTAAATATTTTACAGTACGCGAGCGATTCGAGTTCGAACTCCGCCGGCACCAATGAGACTGTTTCTTGCAATTTTTTTTTCAAAAAAAGTGCTGATTTATCACGTGATCGGCAGTGAAGAATAACGTCGTGAGGAAAACTTCATATCTGGAAAATTTTATTAATACGCATTAGCAAACATTTCCTTGGCCTTTTAATTTCGGAAATGAGATTCTGGGGACATATTTGCCATAGTTGTCATGCTTTGCGGACGGGTTGGAAACCCTAATTATTTATTGTTTTTATTACTATTAGAAAGTTTCAGCTGACCACATCTATTTTCATTTCCCTTTGTCGTTTCTTACGACATCTATGTGATGATAATTTGGGGAGTGGATACTATTTTGCTGTCACTACACGGCAACTCTAATAAAATATAATTAAGGTAATGTCATCCAAATCAACTTCACACGCTTGGACAAAATCTTCTCACTAAACAAGGAGTCACAAAACTTGGTAAGCAGACTGGCAGTCGAATTACTATAGTCTATTGAAAAACAAGACAGAACTAACTAACATGTCAAATACTAAGTACAACGTTAATTTACTGACAGAATTTGATACTGAGTTATAATTTTCTGACAATCAAGCCTACCTCTTCGTAATAATAGACAGTATACGTTAGACAGCAGGTTAAACAAATATTGAAACTGAAGTGGGAAAATGCCAAAAAGGTTGGCAATTCCTACAGTGAACTCAAAGATCACTATCTGTTTTTGCAAATATACATTTTATACGTGATAGAGCCACGCTGCACTTATATTAGTAGTATAGTTTTAGCACGAATGGGTCGGCTCGATCGAGGAAGGACCAGGCTCTCACAGAATACTAGCGTAAAATAGTAGCTTAATGCTGCTGTGTTTTGTTTGGTGAGTGTAGAGAACCGGAGACCTTTTTACTAGAAACGAGGCATTCCATCTTAGTCCTCACTGGTAACAACGCATCTGCATTTGGATTTGTAATCGAGCATATATGTAGATGTCTATGGGCCGCAGCTACCACTTACCATTAGCTGGACGGACTGGTGAAAATACATTAGAAATAACTAATTTATCCAGGATATCATCCTATTAAATGTACTCAATCATGTAATTAGTGTTGGTAATTGCCTGGACATATTGATCAATTTATAAATTACGCAAGAATATTATTTAAAACGAGGAATTTTAATTAGTTTTAAATGCAGTACGTAAATAATGCGCGTACTTTAATAAGCTGTAACGGTAACGGTAACGGCAATGCGTAATAAACCTTTTGATTACGTTTGTGGTTATTTAAAATTAATAAATAATTAAAGCGTATGTGTTAAAATGTACTTGGGGTCAAGATCAGAATAACAAAAAAAATTCGACTATCCACCCCATCTGGGGTGGATAGAAGAACACACGTTTCCGATTGTACACCCTGGGGTGGAATCTTTAGGTTGGATAAATAGAATAAATCTGTATTTTTATTGGTACTTATAGAAAAAAAAAACATACATTTATTTGTCCAGTTCCATTAAAATATAATATTTCTGAACAAAGAAGCCACAGACCAATCTATAACTTTATTTCAATAGGCAAACTATTAGTATTCTATTCCATTCCAAACTTGGCTTCGAGCACAAAGTGTCACGTTCGGAGTGAAGTTTTGAGAAGTTTCTGATTTTCGTTACTAGCAATTATCGACCTGAGAACTATAGTGGGCAATAGTTCTCAAAGATTTAAAAAATTACTTCATAAAATAGAATTCATTACAAAATAACTTAATATTTGAATTCAAATTCTTTGATAAATCGCTGTGTAGTGGCGGCATAAAGCGTAAGTACACACAAGTACATATCATTCCATGGATGTTAAAAAATGCGATATAAGGAAACTGATACAGGAAATGTGCAGGGCCATTTCCTGATAACTAAAAGCAATAAAAAAAACTTCGATTGCAAACCCGTCTGCCAAGCGTGGCAACTATAGCAAATCTCCCAATCTATGGGGGAGGCCTGTGGTCAGCAGTGGATATTCTTTAGGCTTTAAATGAATGATGAACTTTGTTACTTAGAGTTAAAGTTAAAACCTGTTATTTAGTTAAGAGTTATTTGTTCGCAGCACTGCTCCAGTTCCAACTTAACATTTCAGAAATATTTATTTCTTAGCCATTGAGGTTTTTCCACGATATTTTACTTCATCGCCAAGCACATGGAATATCGGTACTTAAAATTTCAGTTTAAAATTCATTGCTGACGGCGAGGGGGGGGGGGGGGATAGAATCTTTTTTAGTATGTGAGAGAAGCT